CCTTCCTGGTAAATATCAAATCTAGCATGGAGGGAACGTCCGCTTCCCTCATCCTCGTAGCTTGTTTAACATGTTGATACAAGAATGTTTCCAGGATGAGGTCTACAAATCTACAGGTCCAAAAATCTTCTGTTTTAGCTTCATATGCTTCCCAGTGTATGGATTTCAAGTTGAAGTCGCTGACTATCAACAGTCGTGATCTATCGTTATCCGCTCTCGCTATAATCTCTCTCATTATTGTTATAAGACCTTCGCGTTTACTATCTAGCTCCTCCTTTGACCATGTGCTGCTTGGCGGTGGACTATATGCATTTATGATCATTAGTTTATCATCCTCATGGCAGATCTCTAGTGCTATTATGTCAACTTCTTGTGGATTGGCAGTCAATATTTCTTTCACCTTTAGGTGTTCTTTCACCAGCACAGCAACGCCACCGCCTTTCCTAATTTTTCTGTCCCGTCTCCAAATTGAGTAGCCCTTTGGGAATATGACCTCATTTAAAATAACATCTTCAAGTTTTGTCTCTGTGAGTGCAACAATATCTGGTGTCTGCAGCTGTATTACATCACTTAACTCCAGTATCTTCGATCTCACTCCATCTCTGTTGGTGTATGCAATCTTCAGGAACTTGTTCCCTCTCTCCTTATTCTTCACTCCAGCTCTCTCTATTGATTTTGTTTGTTTGCCTTTATGTACCACTTTACTGGTCTGCCTACCCCTATCACTTTGTAGAAAAAAGAATTGATTTCTTCTTCATTCCTGCTCTCATTTAAACTTTTTGCCTCGGCGAGGTTCAGTTTCAGCTTCTCTCTGTCTTCTTTTGAAAGATCTCGTCTTAACGACCACACTTTCCCATCCTCATCACTTTGTAATTTTCTGGCATTCCTGAGTACTTCTTTCATCTGTTTGGCACCATTTAGGGGTGATCCTCAAAGGTCGATCTTTCCCTTTTACGTATTTGCCTATTCTCCTGTAGTCGCACACATTCTCTATGGTAGTAAGACCTTCTACGAGGCCAACAATTTTATCTACTAAAACAGGATCATGTGTCCAGCATGCTATCTGCTCAGCCACCGGCCGAGTCTGTAAAGAAAGACTTCGCACTGAATATGGGCTGGACCTGGTGACCGTCAGGTCTCAGTCGGTCGGCCCCACAACCTGGCCATGACTCTTCCTAAAATTCTTCTAAATTCTTCCTGTGCGTCAGGCTTGGTGGCTCACTCAATACTGAGGCCCCTCACACTCGGGAATTTGGCCCACAATTTTTTTTTTAAATGGCGTCTGTTTACAAGAGCCCCTGATGAAGGTGAGGTGAACCCCGTGTATCCGCGGGCCGTTTAAATCTTGCATAGTACTCCAATACATCATATGATAGGATGTGCATTTTATAACAAGTCACTCAACCCATCATATGATGTGTTGCGCTACTTAAGGGTTAATGAGTTCTCAGAATGTTTTCCGCATTCTTCTTGGGGCATTCCCCGATTTTGACTTGGACATCCGTTGTGGGGGGTACAGAGCATGGTTGGACCAGTTGACATTCTGGTCAGTTTCTATCATGGGGTACGCCCATCTGTGCGTTTCACATGCACATTCCTTTAAGTCCGGTGTGTATATACGCATTCTATACCACTCATCTTCCTCCTGTCGTTTGGGAGGCTTGTTTCCTGATCTTGGGGTCAGGGTTTTTGGTGCTCATGTGGGGTTTGCTTCTCTCATTAGCAATTAAGTTGGGGGAGTGTCTTGTTTTCCCTCGCTACACGTCTGCATCTGGTTCATGTTCCTTCTGTTGCTGTTTGCTTATGCTCTTGTCCCTGGCTTCCAGTACTTGGACTGTCTTTTCTTTGCATTTTTACGTCTTCCTACCTCTATCCTACACATTGTTGTGCATCTTGGTAGGTGCATATTGGCTCTTCTCATGCTCGTGCTCGGTTGGGATATGTTCTTGTTCCGTTTCCTCTTGTGGAACTGGCCCGGTGTTCCAGTTTAGCTCTGAGTTCTTCCTCTTCTCTTTGTCTGTCTCTACCAGCTTCTGTGTTTCAATGTTTGCTTGTGTATGTAGCTTTCGATCACCCACTCCTGCCCCTACTGTTTCTTTTCACTGGGGCAGGGGGGATTTGGCTTCTGGCCCTGGCTACGGCTTTTCTTTGTGTTCCTTTCCGGACTGTATGTTTTTTGTTTTCGTGCAGTACATATCTTTCATAGTTCGCTTTCCTTCCTTGGCAACGCATGCTTCATTCTGCCCTATAGGGGTTGGTGGTGCCGCTCCTGCGGGTTGCGGTGTCACTGTTTTTCGCTTCTCGTTTAGAGTTTTGACTCGTGGTGCTCGTTTCCTTGTTGGCCTCTGCCTGGCCCTGGGCTCTTAAATTTTTCGCTGCCCTTTTTGTCATTGCTGTTTGCGATGTTTGCGGTTCGACAGGTTCTGCGTTCGGCAGCTTCTTGTCCGTTCTCGGGCTCATTGCGCCTTCAAGGGTCCCGGGGGTGGGGTGCCTCCCAGACGGGGCGTGTCTGCTTGGCCGGGTTGGTTCTTTCCTGGCTCGCCGGGTTTGGGTTCCTGGTTCCCTGGCGGACATTCCTTTTGGTTCTTTGTCAGCCTTGGTTCCAGCGTGGCTTGCTCGATGTCCGCACTCAGGGGTTTTCCCATGGCTCCGCCTCTTTACGTGGTCAGTCCGCTCCATGACGGGGCTGGTTCGGTCATCTGGAGTCTTCTAGTCTGGTACTTTTGACTGAAGTGTCTCTCCATCTGTTTGGTGATCAGGTGGCTTCTTGAATGTGTCCCACCTGCATGCTTGTCTCGGCGGCAGTACAGTATGTGGTTTTTCTGGCGGTCCTTCCTTTTCTTTTAGTCTCTTCGTAGGTGTACTGCGCTCTTCTTGTCATGGTCTTATCCTTCTCTCGTGGTAGTTCAGGGCCGTCTTCTGGCCGCATACCGTCGCCCTGTCTCATGCGGCACTGGTGGAGCCGCTTCGGATTGCTCCAGTTTTGTTCCTTCTGCACTGTTCACGCGTTGTCTCGGGCATTGTTCACCTCCGGCCTGCTCATGCTCCACCTGAGCCGTCCTGCTCATGCTCCACCTGAGCTGTCCTGCTTTTGCGCAGGGTGCTCTTTTTCTCTTTTCTCTTTCCCCTTTGGTTTGTTGTGGCCCCTTTGGTTCCGGTTTTTGTCTGTGGTTGCTACTTAGGGTTCTGGTGTTTCGCTTAGTTCGTTTGCAGCCAGTCTCTTCTTTTCTGGTGGGGTTGAGACGGCTCTTTTTCCGGAGGGGTCCCCGAGGTTGTTGCTGCTGCTTGCTTGGCTGGTTGGCCGGCGTGCCTCTTCTTGTGTCCAGTTGCGGCTCTCCGCTGTTCTTTGCGCGCCATGGCCTATGTGGCCAGGGCTGCGATTTGGGTTGATCTGGTTTCCTTTCTTCCCTGTTCTCGGGTTCGGGTGTCTCAGGTTGTCCGCTGGGTCATTCTGTCTAGTCAGCCTGCTGTCTCCTCGTGCCCTTGGTGTTCGTTGGCTTGCTACACTTGCTGCCGTCTTGAGTGGCATGTCTTGGGCTTACATTCACGCACAGGTTTGTTTTGGCGTTCATGCTGGGTCCTGGCTGCGCACTTCCTCGTGTGTGTTTCTGGGCCTCGTCGGGCCTGTGTCACTTTGGGTCGGCTGTTGCAGCCTATTGTCTCAATTTCGTGTCGTGGTGTGAGCGCCTACTGCCTCCCTGATGTGTCCCTCTGTTTTCGTCTTTGGTGAAGTAGCTCCTGGGAGCCGCAGGGGTTCCCCCCAGAAAACCAGCGTTGAATGTAATGAAACACCATTTTCTGGGTGAGTCCCAGAGGCTCACCAGCCTCCAGTCGGTGGCTGGAGGCTGGTGGAGGCTATTTTCGCATTTTTAATATCCAACCTCAGAACTGGGGTGTGGATCACTGGTGCAAGGGTCTGGGGCTTCCCCTTTCCCCTCCCGGGAAGGGGGATGGAGCTGCGCAGACATGCAGCGCGGCTCGTGTGATGTCATGTTTTTTTTGCTCTTTTTACTTTTGGGGAGTTCTGTCTACTCGTTTGATGATTTTTGTTGTTAACCAGAATAGGGGTTTGTTTTGTGGTGCTTACCTTTCTGGGTGCCTGTCCCGGTCGATGGCAGATATAGAATGCTCCACATCACATGTGTATTTCTATGGGCCATTGCTCCTCGTACCTCTGTGAGAGGGCCAGGTTCTGGCTAGTGGTCCCCGGTAGGCCTAGAACTGCACCCACATCGACTGATGCAAAATAGTTAAGGTATCCATATCAGCCATGGATAGCTCTGGGGAGCCTCCAGGACTCGTCCAGAAAATGGCATTTCATTACATTCAACGCTGGTTTTTTTTTATTGTAATGCCAGTTATATTTATAATATAAAATATTTATGAATACTGATTTTGAGCTTAATAATTGACTACTTTTCTATATTATTTATTGTCATTTAATGAAATACATGACTCTATATTATTAGTTTTTGTGTTGTATTCTCTTCATCACCATATTCCTCCATCTGCATTTCTCTTAATTACATAACTCTGATCTTTTACCTGGGAAATGTTTAGTTTATAGCATATACACTTCCTACCAGTTCTCAACCTGACTAGCCATTGCTCCTAAAATGTACAGGGGTAAGGCTGTACTTGGGAGTTGGTACAGTGTTGACTGCTTGCGTGTCACTTGCATCTGCCCATCCACTTACTGAGAAATATTAGAATATGCCTATCCATCTAAGAAACTATTTCCTGCATGCAAGACTTCACTTATTGTATATTTTCAAGATTTCAAAAGGTCAAGACTTAGTAGCATTGCTTTTTTGCATTTGCTTAATTCTTTGTTTGTAATAATATTCCTGTTGAAATAGTTATCCACTGTTGAGTAGACAAGAGTAAGGTTGCCCTAGGATAGACACAGACAATATCATTCACGAATAATATGTGAATTTTCGGATGGAGTGAACATTGTCATAAGATTGTGTTGAATTTAGAGAATTTGTGTCTTACAGTGTGACTGCAGTGTGGACATGGTCACAGGAAGTGAATTATGAATAGAAGCCCTGTCTTGTTCACTTTACTAAGGCAGGTATGGTGGCAGTTCATAACTCAAATTTATAAATACAGTATGAAGTGTATGAATAATTTTAGATTTACAATATTTGTGTCAAGCTGTACTAAATTTGTATTTTTTATTTTCAGCTGCATATATTTAAACATTCCCCAAAAATTACACATTTTGACTACTTTTAGTATTAAAAGACAAATCTTTATTTGCATGACTTAGTTTGGCTGATAGGTGTGGCAATCTTATACTTTAAAATATGAGCACTTCACTTTTGATTTTATAGTGAATAATCAAAGACAATGCAGTGTATGCAGTAAATGATAACTTGACACAGTAAAATTAAGGAAATTATAAAATTCAGAAGAGTTAAGCCCATTTCATGGGGTATATCCCAATTATTTATTGTATATGGGAAATGGCATTTTAAATAAACAGTAATACAGTTAAGTTGTCTAATAAGTTTTGTTAATGATGTGTTGTCACTTATGCTGACACAACAGATTTAGGATAATAACAATTATAGCATATTACATGACAGGGTTAGCGGGATGTTGGCTACTCATGTTCCATACGTTAGTGTGTAATTAATAATGATGGGATTCATTTTTATTGGCATCAACTGCTTATACACAATAATGCTATCCTGTGTAATCTTGACACGTGACATATGTAGCTATGAATCTGCATAAATATAAGGCAAGCTGAATCCTTATATAATTAATGAAGTTGCTTCATTTAGATTGTCTAAGAAAGTTTGCACACTTAAATATGTTTCATCTTATAATGGATCGGACTGAATGTGGCATGAATGCATAAAGTTGAATGTTGAAATGATTGTATGTATTCATTAAAGTCGTTTCCTTGCTATTTGCTGAAGCTGTTTTGGAAACTAAATTTATTTTTTATTAGACATTAAAGCTTCCTTGTCAGCTTGAATGACTTGAATCAAATATTGTATACAATTTAAAAGAAAATTAATGTCTTAGTGTTTGTTTAGATTTGCTTAATTTGACAATGCAAATTACTATACAAAGTTCATTAATATATTTGGGAAAATTTTATTTGCATTTGTTTTTGGAATCTTAACATTGCTGTAAATGCCCATGTGGTAGTGCTAATGCTAGTCCTTCTACTACTTTTAAATGTTAATATTTTTTTCTTCAGTTTTTGCACCAAATTGTTTTCCAAGTGAGTCATGTAACTCTCCTTTAATTTTAGTTAGTTTTTCATTTTATCTATACTGTACAGATTATGCATGCTCCTAATGTAAGGCTAAACTTGTGATAACGCCAAAATGTAATGACTGAGAAGGTGATTGACAAGTTTTTATATGTTAGGTGAGTGGTGGACAAGAAGAGGCTACATGAAGGAGAGCATCTGTAGCTCCAAGATTTCACTTCCTGCATAATCTTCCTGCAACACCCCTGCTGTGGAGGTCTCTGCCCTTCAGTGACCGCATGGCATTAGCTCCCTCTACTAATGTACCACGTCCTCCTCCTCCTCCTCACCACGATGCCTCGCCGCAAAAGCTACAAAATGATCCCAGCACAAACTTTTGGTCTTGTTTGTTTTGCAGTTGTTTGCTGACTAAACTGCCAGCTTATAAGAACATGTTGTTTAAAAGCTCATATGACCGTTTGTGATGCCAATAGTGATGACCCTTCCATTTAGGCATGAAGGGCATTTAGGCATGTATATCAATTATAATTGATATACAGTACTGTATTACACATTTCTTTGTATACTGTACTGTACAATTTTTCTTTAGGTCAGAAATTTAGAATGGCTAAGCTTTGATAATTCTGTCTTATTAACATACAGAAAACAATTGAAAACCTTATAGATTTTGCAAGCATATCAATTGTTGCATTATATATGTATGAACATTAAGAATTGTATGCATATCTGTGAGGGTGGGCAGCTATGAAGGAAAAGCTATTTTGTGTTTGCCTTCATATCTTGGAAGTGTTGTCTTTATAATATGAACATTCATGCTTCCTTTTTGACAGTAATTGTTGTATTTATACGGCACGACAAGCCATTGCCTTACGATATGTCGTGTAATAAGTATTATTCATAATGGTTTGGTGCTTCTGGTAAATTGTGCATGTAAGTGAAACATTGTTCCTTTTACTTCTAGGTAACATTATGCAGTGTATATTGATTAACATATGACCAGTAACATTCTTCTCTTGTTAACTTGACAGGTGTTACACAACCTTGGGCCTTAGGTAGTACTGGAATCAAGACCAGACCTTTTATGTTGACATTGTATATTAACCAACAGGTTTATGGGTGATATCATGCAAATATTTTGTGCACTTTCAGTTTTCAATTATGAATTATGATCGAGATAATTTTATGCACGTAAACTTTTACAGATAAGGTGCCATTTTGTCAATTTCCTTGTATCATGAAATACATAGCCAGCATGAGTACTGTATTACCCAAGCTTACTGACTCTGATCACTTAGCTATTGTAAGTACTGTATATCATATCAAAGTAAGAAATAATTTGTTTCAACATATTGTATAAGAATACTAGTAGATTGATTCATTGCCTTGATCCTTGACAAATATAAATTTCCATAGGAATACCATGTAATGTATTTTGATAATGACACTGTTAATGATAAGGTAAATACATACTCTGAACTCTGGTGATAATTTAGAGGTGCAGTTTTTCAAATAATTAATTGTAGGATCTGTAATATTAACTGAACTGTTATAATTTAATACTCAACAAGGAAAATGTTTCACTTCAAACCAAACTGAAATTTAAGTCATTGATATTTTTGGTGATGAAGTATGAGTGGAGTTGGGATTGATGTGTATGTGTGCTTCTCTGGTATCCACTACTTTCTCTTTCTATATAAATATATTTGTTCTAACTGTGATCCTCCTTCTCACATTAGCTGCAAGTTATGTACACATCTTTTTACCTGTCCATGTGCAACTCACATCTTATAATGGTATTACATGCTATGTTCTCTTGTTTCAGAGGTTCATGAATATGGTAAATTTATTATTTTGTGTGCATGTGTGTGTGTTTGTCTTATGTTAGCCGTTACATATTTGTAGTTACGGGTAGAAAGCTATGTTTGTTGTGCTCTGCCTTCCTTGTATGTTTTAACCAACCATGACATGGCATTCATCATAAAAAACTATTATACCTTCTATATTCTTCTGTAATTTACATTTATGACATATAGATGTAAATTAAATGACTTCTTATTTCTCATTTTATAAATTGTTCCTGGCATGTTTTCCTGTATATCTTTGTAAACATATATGTGGTTATATTCCCGTCTTTTCTTGTCATCCAGTTTGGGTGTGTCCAGTGCCTTTAATCCCTCCTCATATATCATACTACATATTTCAAGAATCCATTTTTGTGCACATCTTTTTCTGTTGTGTTAATGTGTTTCTTTAGATGCCTACAATGTTCCACAGTTTCATATCACAATTTGCGTGACAATATAAATAATTCCTTTGTCATTTCAACGTTCTTGTATTTAAGCCTAATTTTACATTTGACCAGAATTGCATTGAACACATTTAATTTAGTGTATATGGTTTTTTTTTAGCTGTTATTGTGTATAATTACCCCAGGATTATTTTCTTTATAAAATTTTTGTAATATTTTGTCATATAGCCAGTCTCTCTCAATGGCTTTATTCCCACTCTCCTTTATTTAGTCTCTGGCATTTATCACCATTCAGTTTCATTATTCATAAACTATTATATTCACTTGATTTGTCAATGTCTAACTTTATTATTTTGCCCTAAGCTTTAGCATCATCTTGAAACATGGTCAAGTAATTACTAACACCCTCTGGCAAATCTTAATTTATATCAGACACAATTATTGCCAGTACCAGTACTTACATCTTATGATATTTGTATTATTGTTAGCATTTTTTGGTTTAACTGTTGTTTATCTGTAGTCGGGATAATTATTAATTAATTTTATTATTATAATAATTATTATAATAATAATAATTGTTGTATTTAACAATTATCACTCTTTCTTCTGCTTGGTCATCTTTCTGACAGGGGCCTGACAGGTGAGTGGACAGCGCTTCAGATTCACAGTCCTGAGGTTCTGGGTTTGATCCTCAGTGGAGGCGGAAACAAATGGGCAGAGTTTCCCTGATGCCCCTGTTACCTAGCAGTAAATAGGTACTTGGGAGTTAGACAGCTGCTACGGGCTGCTTCCTGGGGGTGTGTAACAAAAAGAAGACCTGGTCGAGGACCGGGTCGCGGGGACGCTAAGCCCCGAAATCATCTCGAGATAACCTCATAGCTTAAGTCATACATCCTGATTTTCAGCTTAATTGGAAATTTTGCTTTCACACAGTATTTTTATTTCTTGATAAGACCCTCTATAAATCTTATTCCTTTGACATCACTTGTTTTGTGTCGTTCATCTCTTGTATTGGTATCCTGAATGATATGTAGGAACTTTTAAATAATCTATAACACAAATGGTGTTATATAGACATCCAGAAATAGTGGTTTTTTTTATAATATGGTTCTAATTTTTTTCAGACAAGAAATCCCCTTTCCAACTAAGTAATGTAACCTTTAAACCTATATAATTTATTTCCAAATTGGCCTAATTTGTTCCAAGCCTAAATAACCCTATCTGACTTTTGTGAGCAATGAGCAACTAATAAGTACCAGAATTGAGCTCCTTTAACATAGCTGCTGCATTTGAAACATTGCAACCCTGACGTAAACTGTGTACACACTCACTGTCCAGTCCCAACTGCTAGTAACAGCTCCTGTCTTCCTGAGTGCTCTTCCTGACTTATAATATTCAGATAGGTGTAGGCTATCCTTTTGGCCTTTGCTCTACAGAGACGTATGTTTGTACTAGTTTCATTTTTCTGCTCCACTTGTATATATTTTACAGCCTAACTTTTATGTAAACCTCGAGTCTTGTTTGTTTCAACAGCTTATGGCTAGAGTTCCATTTTTTATTTGTTATTGGCATTACCCGTGCCCCATCAAGGTTCTCTTCCCCAAGGGGTTTGACGTCTCATTCCCCCCCACTTCAGGCTGCCACCTCTCGTAGGGTCTTGCTCCGGCTAGTATATTGGCTTTGGATCCTCTCCAGGGCTTGAAGGTTGGGGTGTACTGTATTTTTTGTTGATTTTAAGGGGACTATGGGTTCAAAGCAAACTTTTGTTCTGCTTGCTGCTTTGCCACATTTCCAGGTTGGAGGTTGGTATTTGCATTTCCTGCACCTGGCCTCCTGGCCAATTAATCCTGGTTTGGTGCTGGTAATTCCTGACAGTTCTCATATAGTGTGGATTTGGTGTGTACCTTCCCTCAGACCCTACTACAACAGTTGGGCTGATTGTGTTCATTCCTGGGTCTACGATGTGTGGCATCACTGGTCCTTGTTTTTTGCTGCACCACATGCAGGGGTGAGGCTTTTAAGGCAGCAACTGCTTTATGGGAATGTGCATCCCCTTTTTTTTTTCTTCTTCTTCTTCTAAGGGTGCGTGTTGATGTAATTTGTGCCAAACATTATGCAGCTAGTTTCTTTGTCTGCAAGGTGTGAGGATGGTTGGGTCTGGATTCTTGATGCTTGGCTACATTGGGCTGGCTTATTGGAGCATTGCAGGTCTGGGTTTGCCTCGCATGGTGTCTGCCCCCTGTGGAGCAGAGGATTGGTTTGATACTGGAGTGGTTAAATTGTTCCCTCCCTGTGGTGGGTATTCCATGTGTTCCTGGTCCTTCAGTGGGTCTTGCCAGGCTCTGGGTTTATTCTCATCCTCTCATGTTAGTGAGGCTTTTTCCCAATCCTTCCCTCCACATGGTCTTCTTCAGTCTACCACACATGGCTTTGCAGGCAGATGCTTGGTTTGTGGCCTTGGCTCTTCCATGTGTGTTCTGTCTTTTAAGTCACCCTCAGTGGTTCAGGAATTGGCTAGGGTTTGTGTGGTTGATTTGTTGCCATTTCTGGGATTTTTATTTTCAGTTTGTCCCTGGTGACTGTTCAGGATTTGTATTTTGGCCTCCCTCGATGATTGGCTGGTTTGGACTACCCAGCATGTATGCAAGCCAGGGTTCCGGTTCTTACCTTGTTCATGACTGAGTTCCTTGTCACTTGGAGACATTCCCAGCTGGTTTTGTTGCCAGTTTGGACTTGGCTACAATTTATCTGGTATTGCCAGTCAGCATCACAGTTTCTGCCTCAGGTGGCTCTGCTTCACTGGCTTATCCATTCCATATGTTGTGATGATATTTGCTTGGGATCCTTTTGTTTGGGCAGTTGTACAGTGCATTGCTCTTTTTTTTTTCCGGTGTTGTTTCACTGCTAGGTGGAGTATAGCTGCAGACATTGTTCCAGTTTCTCTGGTACTGTCTCTTTTGCCACTGTAGAGTCTGTCAGATTTGGACCATGTTTCTCCATCAATAGCATTATGTATTGGCCACAGCCTGGCATGTTTCTCTTTCCCATCCTTTTTGGGCTGGAGTTATTGCCAACTGGGTGATCCTTCTGGTTCCTTGGTGGACAGCTCTGCCTTTGTTGTTGGAGCTCACCCACATTGTGTGACTCCAGCTCTTTCAGGGAATTAGTTAGGGGATGCTCCTTGATGGTTTGAGAGACTGCCAGTCATTATATTTTGGCTTTCCGAGTCTTGTTTCCTGATGCTTATATAGGATTCAAGTGGTATATCGTCTGTTGCTCCATTTGCAGCTTTCTTTCCTGTGGCAGTGTTTTTTAACTGTTTTTCGGTGCCTAGCTTCAGTGTCAGTTCCAGTCATCCTGTCTTTCCTGGCTGTTTTGTTTACTGTCTTTTGCTGCCTCATTCTTTTGGTCTCTTTTTAATCATCTTTGGCACAGCCTTTTTTACTGGTTTTTGGCACTGATGTTTTGTCTTTGCCGTTTCATACTTTGTCTCATTTTTTTTCACCTCCTTAGGTTTCTTGGTCTCTGGTTTGTGTGCTTGTTTTTCTTTTATCTTATCATTTTTGTGTGTTCCCTTCAGTCCTGGGTCTTTTCTTTTAGGCTGCCATTTTCTTTCTTGTGTTCCTGGGGAACAGTTTCTTCTTGGCTCAGAATGAGATAGTAAGATCCCAGAAGGGTCCTTGGTTTTTAAGCCAGGGATTCATCACTTCTTTTGTTTCTGGCAGTTCGTCAATCTTTGGGTGTCCTTTGGGATGCCCCAAGTGACATCACCAGTTGTCTCCAGTTGTATGTGAGGGGTGGTTTGGTATCATGAGCCTGTAGTCTCTTTGAGCTCATGTCTGCAAGTTTATGGCTCTTTCACTTCTTTTTCCCATAGATTTTGATGCTCTTGGCATGGTTCTTCGTCCGTGTTCTTTAGCAGCACAAGATTAGCGTGAAATTGGGTCAGGTGTCAATGTACCGTTTTCCTTTTGGGGAAGGAAGACAATTTCCCAGCTGCTTGCCTCTCCTCTGGGAGACACTGAGGGAAGTCCTCCCAGAAATCCAGTGTTGAATGTAATGAAACGCCCCTTTCTGGTGGGTCCTCTTGGTGGCTTTTTCTTCACACCCTTCCCTCCTCCTGGGGTTCATATGGTTTCTTTTGGCTAGTGCATGTTTGGGACAGCTAACTTGCTAGAGCACCACTTTGCCTGGGCTACCATCGGCTAACAAGCAATTGGGACTGGACAGTAAGTGTGTGCACAATTTGTGTCAGAATTTTTTATGTTTTCCATGCAGTTACTTTGGTGCCCTACTCTAGATATTTTAAATAGCAGATTGGATTCTATCCTACATTTATTTACTTTACCTTCTTAATAATTTGCTACTTCATCTATTTTGTTAATGGACAAGCTTTAAAACAAGCTTTCCTAGCTTGTTTTAAACTTTTGGTAGGATTGTGGGTTAGTTTATTAAAGTAGTGATTTAAATCTTTATTTCCATTGTTGCCTTCCACCATATGTGGTTTAACCAATAATATACATTTCATCTTCAACAACATGTACTTCATGGCATTTGTTTTATTGCCATGAAGTACATGTTGTTGAAGACATCATATAATTTATTTTCATTATTTTCCTGTAATTTTAGATTCTTAAAAAATATTCTAAAGAAATTGAACTCTGCCCATCTCTCCTTCATAAAGTCTAGTTTGTCTTTCAGGAGGAGCCAAACAGTAGCTTTCTGGAAGCTAGCGGCACTGAGATAGGTCTTTATATCAACCCTGGGAGTCTGTAATAGCCTATTGGAGACCAGAGCCAGAACCTGGCCTCCCACACAGAGGCACAGGGAGCAGTGTTATAGTCCCCTCACCAAGGAAACCTTCAGAAAATAAGCAAAGCAAAAAAAGACAACTGCCTAGGCTTTAAATTCAGCTTGGTCTTTAAACCTATTGTCTGCCTTGCCATTTTCTTCCCTTAGGTGGCTAGTTTCTTCAGTGCTTTCAGTTGCGGCTGCTGTGTTCCAGCCCCTCAGTTAGGTACTTTTGCTGATGGATTCTTTCCCTGCTGTTTGGAGGTGGTGTTCTTGGGTTAGAGCCTCATTTGTGAACAGTGAGGATAGGTCAGGCCAGATGGAACCAGATTCTCGGGCTCTTTTGCTTCCACTGTTTTTTTCCTTTTCTAGTCTTTGGCATTTTCAGGCAATGCAGAAGGATGCTGCTTCTTGAGTTTTTGCACTGGCCATTATACAGTTCACCTCTTGCTGGCACTTTGGTGGTGGTGGTGGTGGGGAGGGGGGGGGGTACCTAACCCATTTTGCTAGCCCCTGGTTTCACAATGTGTGAGCCTGTTAGATTGTCTCCTATGGTCTTCAGTGCCATTAGTTAACCTTCCTTCCTCTAAGGGTCTTGGGTCAGATGTCATTCACCATAGATGTGTTTTGTCATTGCAGCTTGGTTGGACTCTGGTGTGGTTGAGTTAATCCCTACTCTTCAATGGGTGTCCCAGTTGTTCCTAGTCCCCAAACAGGACTTCAAAAGACCTATGGTACATTTTTTACCTCTCGGGAGTGAATAACTTCATTCCTTGACCAACTTTTTGTATGGCCATGTTAGCTCAAGTTTGTCTGGTTTTGCAGGGACATTAAATTGACAGGAATCGATAGAGTTGACTAGGAACTTTTGGAACCTGCAACTTCAAGAACAAAAGCCATGAATTCAAAATGAAAAAAAAATGCTGAAAAAATTTGTAGATTATAGATTGTTGTAGATTGTTGGAGTCAATTACATGAGAGGGTAGTGGATGACAAAACCAGCGGAAACTTAAAAAAGCCATATAAAGATTATATGGAAGATGGGACACAACGAGCATAGCTTAATCCTATAATTGCACTTGGGTAATTATTTATATGTTATACATTGTATATACAGTAAATCTACATGTGTGTGTGTGTGATCAGTGCATATATATGCGTGTGTGTGTGTACAGTTCATGTGTATATGTATGGGTATAGTGAATGTCATGTATATGTGTGTGTACAGTGTACATGGTGTATGTGTGTGTGTGTACAGTGCATGTGGTTTATACATGTGGTTTATTCATGTGTGTACACATTATGTATGTATGGTGTATATGCATGTGTGAATAGTACATGTGTACAGTGCATATGTATACATGTGTGTAAATCATGAAAATCAACGTGATAAAAAAAATGTGACAATGTCAGACTACGAAGGAAGAATTGAAACAGGAATTTCCTTAAGTACTTTCGTATTTAATAATATATCTTCAAAAGGATCCTTCTGAAGATGTTATTATTAAATACAAAAGTACTTAAGGAAATTCCTGTTTCAACTCTACCTTCATGATCTGACACTGTCATATGTATACATTGTGTGTGTGTGTGTGTAATTACCTAAGTGATTACACACACATATATATGTACACATACACGGTGTGTGTGAATATCCACCTAATTGTACTCAACTAGTTCTTGATGTAGAATAAGCTCCACCTCCTGGGTTACAATTTTGAATCACCAGTCATGTGGTGTGATGACTCCGAGTCCATTGAATACTGTATACAGTGGTACCTCGGCTTACAAATTTAATCTGTTCCCAGAGATGGTTCGTAGACCGAAGCAAAATTTCCCATAAGAAATAATGTAAATTGAATTAATCTGTTTCACACTCCCCAAAAGATTAACTTCAAAGTAAATTTTATACCTAATTCACTCAAATCTTTAGTACTAAAGTATGTACAAGTTATTGCTTCCCTTTATTGATGACTCTTGTTGGTGTATGGAAGACATTGAGAAAGGGTGGGGAGGAGAGGTGTTAAGTGTTTGGAAGGGGAGTACCCTTCCAGTATAACATCAGGCAGTGATGACCTGTCTGGGGTACACTTTCTAGCATGTTTTGCCTGCATACCACTGAGACCTGCTTGTGGCTCACTGCTTGATTTTCTCACTAGAAATCGATCCATCGAAGAGTGTTTTCCCTTCGTTGTAACACTTGTCTGTAGTGAGACATCACAGTGTCATTAAAAAGGATAAGGCAACGGCCCACTACAGCTTGCTCTGGGCGAGTCATTTCAACAAAAGTTTGCATTTCTTCCCACAGTCTGTACCACTTCCTAATTGTTGAGGAAGGGACATTCTGTACTGCCTCCTCCTCCCCTGAAGACATTTCCTCAGCTGCCTCTTGTCAACAACCCGTGTACCATTTTCCATGTTTATGAATGATCTCTTGTTTTTTCCTCTATGGTCATTCTCGCAAGTGTTTTCTTGGCTTGAGCCTCACCACTGGCTTTCTTGGGACCCATGGTGAGATATATAATAATAACAACTTTTATGTTCAAATACCCAAAAATCCTAAAAACACTGAAATTCTTTACAAAGATTTCAGATCTGTTGTCACTAGGCGGAAGGAACTGGTAAACTGAGGCACGGTCACTGTACCACCACGCGCTAGGTTGGCCATACTCGTATCAACAAACTTCGTTTTCTGAGGCAAAGTTCGTAACCCAATTCGGATTTTACGAAGAAATTGGGCTCGCAATCCGAAAAGTTCGTAAAGAGGGGCTTTCGTAAGCTGAGGTGTCACTGTACACAATATATAAAATTTCTTTACTACCCATTCTGGTTTGTATATGCATGTATGTTGTGTGACTGTTGGTTTTTATTTGTTTTGTGTATGCATAATTTGTTGTTATTTGTATCCGAGTGTGTATTTCCATTTGTCTTTCAGTTCGTGAATGAGTGGAGGCACACAAATGTTAATGCATGTTTGCATGTCCAAGTATGTTAACATGTATATACTGGATCTGGGCATGTTTGTATGCTAGCTTAAAAATCTGAATTATGCAGTACAGATTAACTAAGTAAATACAGTAATTGTTAAAATTCATGGAGCAGCAAATCCTTCCATAGTGTGACATAAGAATGATTAAAGAAATTGAATGCTCGGGCTCAAGCTTTAATAGGGTTAAATTTTAATGTCTTGTGTTGCCTGTGGGATGAGTTAGATACGGGAAGCAGTCTTCTATAATATATGTAAAGTATGATGTGCTTTTGTAGATTTTGTATTGCAGTACAATGCTGCCTGTGTATAATGATTACCTAATTGTATATTTGAATGACTAGAAGTAATGATATTATTGGGTTGTGACATAATTTTGACTTGTGTGTGTAGGTGATTGTCAGTGAGGAAGATGACTGAATAATGTGTATTTTCACACATTTTACACTACTCCATAAATTTACAGATCCAAAGGTCTTGCTTTTGTCTGTGCTTATCAGTATCAACAGGGTATTATTATCTGTTCCAAAAATTTTGTACTGAACAATTGTATTGTGTGTGCAAATGATAATTATAGATTTTATTAAAAGAAATTATTACTATGAACAAGTTGGATCCACAGCAGAGTGCATATTAAATCCTGTCCACCCATACTTCTCAGTGACTGAAATTAATATTGATTTCAGATATAAACTATGTACTGTAATGTTTTAAAAAGTGATAGCCCAGATTTATGTATTTGTAATATGGAGAGCATTGTCTACAGAATTTCAATTTGGATTTTTCTAATGTATTTGAAATTTGTGTTGAAAATCAACATTTTTATATACTGTACGTATCCCAGGATTAAAGCTGTACTCTCAATTCAAAGTGTTTTGGTTAAATTAGTTACAGTAACAGTTTATACTCTGCTGTTGTGCATGCACTATGATAATATCCACATTTTCATATTAGCAAATGTTTGCATATAATTATTATATTCTTGACGCCCATTTCTATTGACACTGCCGAAGCAGGAAGCCTGTGGCTTATCATTAGTCCATATAGTTTATCTAAGTTTTAGGTGTACGTTAAAATTGAGCACTATTCATATGTAAACCTGTAATCGTTTGTGTGTAAATTCATGCATATCAGAATGAGTATTTTTATGTGCTCAATTATGTATTAGGAAAAGGCATATTAGTCTTATATAAATGTGGCTTTTCCTTACACAGTACATTTTTTTTGCACTGGAGCAAAATCCACAAAATAAAAATAAATACAAATGCATGCACAAATATACATAAACTTACGTATAGAAGAAAGATGGGTGATTTAGTCACCATATACAAAATTTTGACACGAATAGATGAAACTGATTACGAGAAATTTTGCTCATCCACATGCTAAGAAAACAAATGTGCTGAGAAAATGAGTGTTACTCTTTTTCAAAATAGCAGACTGATGGAATTATTTTAATGAGAGAGTTTTTTAATTCATAAAAAACAATAATTCATTTTAAAAATTATTTATTTTGTGTGCCTGTTGCACCTCTGCTCTTACCTACTTGATGTTATGCTAAGACCATCAGATACTTCAAAATGTCTTAGACAAAGATTATAGAGAAGACGACCTATTGAGATATGTCAGTTTCTCAGTTTTGGTATCGGTGTAAATAACATTACTAATAAAGTTATTAGACAAATGGTTAAAATGAAATGATAAATGGGTGAAAGTAAATGGTATGACAATGTTGTTTGTTTCA